CACAACCTCTGGAGGCAAGTCGTTCCACTGATTAATTGTTCTAACTGTCAGGAAATTTCTCCTTAGTTCTAGGTTCCTTCTTTCCTTGATTACTTCCCATCCATTGCTTTTTGTCCTGCCCTCAGGTGCTTTGGAGAATAGGTTGACCTCCTCTTCTTTGTGGCAACCTCTTAGATATTGGAACACTGCTATCATGTCTCCCCTAGTCCTTCTTTCTATTAAAACTAGCCATTCCCAGTTCCTGCAACCGTTCTTCATATGTTTTAGCCTCCAGTCCCCTAATCCTCTTTGTTGCTCTTCTCTGCACTCTTTCCAGAGTCTCCACATCTTTTCTACATCGTGGTGACCAAAACTGAATGCAGGATTCCAAGTGTGGCCTTAGCAAGGCATTATAAAGTGGCATTAACCCTTCACGTGAACTTGATTCTCTCCCTCTGTTGATGCAGCCTAGAACTGTGTTGGCTTTTTTGGCAGCTGCTGCACACGGCTGGCTCCTATTTAAATGGTTGTCCACTAGGACTCCAAGATCCCTCTCACAGTTACTACTATTGAGCCAGGTACCAACTATACTGTACCTGTGCATTTCGTTTTTCTTGCCTAAATGTAGAACCTTCCTTTTTTCACCCTTAAATTTCACTGGTGAAATCAGTTTCGCTGATTGTTCTAACTATTTTGGGGAATATTAAAAGAGGCAAAATATTATATTTCCCCCAAAGGAGGAATAGAGAAAAAAATGTTAACAAAGGCAGAAAGCAATCTCAACAACCTCCAGCAGATGCCTGAAGTCTTTAGAGATGGATATTTTCTGTCCATTAAGAAATACTGGGCCAATCTATTCACAAACAAAACATCATCGGCTCCATCTGATGGGATTAAGAAGGACAGGACCTGATTTTTAGGGCATAATAGGATTAAAGGTAAAGTTTCCCCTCGCATGTATGTACTAGTTGTTCCTGACTCTAGGGGGCGGTGCTCATCTCCGTTTCAAAGCTGAAGAGCCAGCCCTGTCTGAAGATGTCTCCGTGGTCATGTGGCCGGCATGACTAAACGCCAAAGGTGCATGGAACGCTGTTACCTTCCCACCAAAGCTGGTTCCTATTTTTCTACTTGCATTTTTACCTGCTTTCAAACTGTTAGGTTGGCAGAAGCTGGGACAAATAATGGGAGCTCGCTCCATTATGCAGCGCTAGGGATTCAAACCGCTGAACTGCTGACTTTTCTGATCAACAAGCTCAGCGTCTTAGCCACTGAGCCACTGCGTCCCCGATAATAGGATTAACTCACCCCGATTAGAATAGCAAATTCCCTCCCGCCTCCTCCTCCCCCTTCCTCTTCCTCTGCCCCCCTTCTCTCCCCTCCTCCTCTTCCTCCTCCTCCTCCTCCCCAGACTCACTACATTGCACAAACCCCTGAAGCATCTTAGAGCCCTATAAAAATCCACGTACTTATCAAACCGATTTATCAGCTGTCCCAGAACTACATAATAAATGTCCTTTCCTTGCAGCCACTCTGCCTACATTTTATTTCCAGCGTCTTTCTCCCGGATTGAAAGTGTACTGGGTTTTTCTTCCAACCCAGGGATTGGGACTCCCATCATCCCCTGCCAGTCCTTTAGGACATGAGATGGGAGTGGTAGTCCATCCCCTTTGGAAGGCAACATGCCAAGGACACAGGAGGATGACAGCGTACAGCGCTAAACAAGATTCCCCAGGAATCTGATAGGGGCTGATATTTACATTTATACTTTATTATTCCATACCATGAGAACTAGCATCTTTCTGAGATTTTAAGGGATCAGGGCCTAGCCAAGTGGTGGAATGTTTGCAGCCAGCTTTCATGCTTAAGGTGGGACTAGAGCTCTCCGTCTCCTAGTGATTGGCCCAAAGTCACCCAGCCAGCTTTCATGCTTAAGGTGGGACTAGAACTTCTTCTTCTTTTCCTTTCCTTTTGCGCTTCCTCCCTCCCTCCCTTCTCTCTCTCTTTCCTCCCTCCTCTCTTCCTCCTCCTTCTCTTCTTTCCTTTTGCACTTCCTCCCTCCCTTTTCTCTTTCTTTCATCCCTCCTCCTCTTCCTCTTCCTCTTCTTCCTTCCTCCTCCTTTCTTTTTGCACCTCCCTCCTCTCTGTCTCTTTCCTCCTCCTCCTCCTCCTCCTCCTCATTCCTCCTCTCTGTCTCTTTCCTTTTGCATCTCCCTCCCTTCTCTCCCTCTCTTTCCTCCCTCTCCTCCTCCTCTTCCTCTTCTTCTTTTCCTTTCCTTTCCTTTTACATCTTTCTCCCTCCCTTCCCTCTCTCTTTCACCCCTTCTCTTCTTCTTCTTATTCTTCCTTCCTTCCTCCTCATCCTTTCCTTTTGCACCTCCCTCCCTCCTCTCTGTCTCTTTCCTCCCTCTCCTCCTCCTCCTCCTTCCTCCTCCTCCTCTTTCCTTTTGCATCTCCCTCCTTCCCTCCCTCTCTTTCCTCCCTCTCTCCTCCCTCTCTTCCTCTTCTTCTTTTTCTTTCCTTTTACATCTTTCTCCCTCCCTTCCCTCTCTCTTTCGCCCCTCCTCCTCATCTTCTTCTTCCTTCCTCCTCCTTGTCGTCTTCTCCTCCCCCTCCTTTCCTTTTGCACCCCCCTCCCTTCTCTCTCTTTTATCCCTCCTCCTCTTGTTCTTTTTCTTCTTCCTATCATTTATCTTGTCTTTCTCTTTCCTTCTCTCCTCCCTCCCCCTCCCCTCCCTCAAATTCCTGAGATGGAAGGACCCCAAAAGGACATCTAGCCCAGCTCCCTGCTTAGAGCACAACAATGTCTCTTTACAACTTTGCAATGCCAGCCGCTTTCCCCCTGCTTTGGCTCTGTTGGAAAACCCACCGCTTCCCGCTTCCTTCAACTGCCAATCTGGGCCCTGCCCAGCCCTCCCCCCCTCTCCTTCTGCACCGGCAAAGCTAGACCAGAAAGGAGCTTCACTTACTCCATGCAATGAACTGCCGTC